CATATATATATATTATATATTCAATGTATCATATCCCCTAGTTGCTTATTTTTTAAGAAATTGCCAAATGGTTTTCTCAGGTGGCTTTGTTGTGGGAGATTTGTTTGTGTTTTCACTCTGAGACCACCCATGGAGTGGACCATAGAGTTTTCTAGCCAAGTCAGAGGAGATAGAAGGAAGCAGAGAGTAAGGAGAGGCTAAAAAGAAGAGGGTGAAGTGATCTTTGTTCCATCCCTCCATGAATCAGTCAGGTTTATTCCCTAATATTTGATTCTTGAGCATTATTGAATAATAAAACATTAAAAGAAGCTGAAATTATAGGCTTTATCTAGCTTCTTGTACATGATTTCAGGCTTGAGTCTGAAGCAGGTAACTAGGAAATAAGTTCATGTACCTTGGATGTATTTAATAGATTGTGGTCCTTTAACGTCTCTGAAATCTGCTACGTATGACATTTAAAATGTTTAAATTTTCTTCAGTGAACCATTCCTGACAGCGACCCTTGAAGTCTCCAAAAGTATGGGGCCCCACGATTTCATCAAGATGATGATAATACCACTAAGCTGACGGACACCACCCAAAGATCAGCTTTGGACTACAAACTGCTTGGGACAATTTCAATGCAGTTAACTAAGATGGTCCAGCCTCATAGACTACTTACTCCAGCCAGGACTTCAGATAAGCCCTGCACTTGCCCATCACATGGAGAATGGACAACAACTAGCTCTCCCAGGACTTGACCATTATTTCAGTTTTCTCAGGGTCTCCCAAAGATGCCATCACCCACAGATGGAAGGAAGTCATTTTAAGAATGTGGCACCAAAACTCTCAAAAGGTGGGGTGGGTGGTTTCTGTTCATTCAGTGGATTATGGATGTTTGTCATCTTTTGAGGAGGGAGGTTGGTTCCAAGTTGTTATTGGTCATGATCAGGGAGAAAACTAAGCAAAGGAGATGAAATTCTATGATCTTGTTCTGAAAAAAAAAGAAAAAAAGAAAAGAAAAAGGAGGGCATATAGAAATGATAGGATAAAAAGGTAAATTATTGAATCTACTTTGTTTGTTTGTTTGTTTGTTTGTTTTTCCAAAACAGGGTTTCTCTGTGTAACAGCTCTGGCTGCCCTGGAACTTACTCTGTAGACCAGGCTGACCTCGAACTCACAGACTTCTGCCTGCCTCAGCCTCTCAAGTGCTGGGATTAAAGGCATGCTGCACCACCACCACCACCACCACCACCACCCAGCTTGAATCTACTTTCAAACTAAAAAAGCAACTACTAGTATTTTACATTGGTATGGGTTTTTGTATATTGATACAAATTTAAGGTTATTTTTGTCATACTGTATATATGCTTCTACTCTTGTTTAAGATATTTTGTATATTGATACAGATTTAAGGTTATTTTTGTTATGCTATATATATATATATATATTTTCTATTCTTGTTTAGATATTATTTTATAATGTAATATAAAGTTTTAGTCCTTGAAAGCTATTTAGGATAATAAACACAGGCTAATAGTTAGTCATCTATAACAATCAAACTTATAGTCATGTTAGTTATTTTTTCAAGGTCAGAGATGTATGTTAAATAGATAGTCTTCAAACACTCCAGAGACCTACAGAATATGGCATTTAAAATATTTTAATAACATAAGGCTTTTCATGACAGTGAGACACATCTGCTCCTGGCAGCACCAGTTTACTTTAAAAAAGAATGATGGGCATCAATAAACCTCCATATGGAGTTTGCTTTCAATGTGGCAAAGCTAGCCATTTGGGCAAGAAACTGCCCTTGCCTTGACTGCTGACAGTACGCTGTCCAAACTGGACAAGCAGGACACAAAAAAGGTGACTGCCAAACTTGCCAAGACATGGTAGGACAGTCCTTCAGAATTTCCTGCTTTACACAAAATTGTCAGATATTCTAGGCCTGTAGGCCGAAGATGGATGCCCCAATGTTGCAGAGGAACTTTGGGGTGACTGTCCAGGCAGCCAGATGTCTCTGTTGTCTCTATAGTTTTGGAAGTTTCTTGCTCTGCAATTCCTTCTCAAGTCTCTGATGGGGTTAAAGATTAGATAGTTATAGTTACAGTTTTCCTTAGTTATGATAGAAAGTAAATTAGATACAAAACTTTGGACTCAGCAAGATAGGATAGATAATGAAGTATTTTCTCTGAATTTGCCAAATACTAATGGACTGGACATTGTGAATGTATTTCTTTTTTTTTTTTTAATTTTATTTATTTATTTATTTTTATTTATTTATTTTTTTCGAGACAGGGTTTCTCTGGGTAGCTTTGCACCTTTCCTGGAACTCGCTTTGGAGACCAGGCTGGCCTCGAACTCACAGAGATCCGCCTGCCTCTGCCTCCCGAGTGCTGGGATTAAAGGCGTGCGCCACCACCGCCCGGCTGTGAATGTATTTCTTACTTGATAGTTGTTCTTATTTAATATAGTTTCATTTTGTTAAAACTAATACTTTTTGTTCTCATTGTATATAGTTTCACTATGTTGGAGTTAAAATCCTTTCCTTTTTATTTAGAGAAAAAGGGGGAAATGTTGCGGGAGATTTGTTTTCACTCCAAGACCACCCATGGAGTGGACTATAGAGTTTTCTGGCCAACTCAGAGGAGATAGAAGGATGCAGAGAATAAAGAGAGGTTAAAGAGATGCTTGGTCTTTTTGATTGGAAAGGTGGAGAAGAGGATGAAGTGATCTTTGCTCCGTCACTCCATGAATCAATCAGGTTTATCCCCTAATATTTGACTCCCGAGCTTTATTGAATAATGAAACATTAAAAGAAGCTGCAATAGGCCTTATCATAGTACCTTCTCTACCAGCAGTGTATGAAAGACCTTCTTCCACATCCTCTCCAGGATTCGCTGTCGTTATTGTATTTTATTTTAGTAAAGAGTGTATAGTGGTATTGAGTTCTCTTTTGTCTTTATATAGCCCAGAGTGGCCTCCAAGGGTGGCCTTGAACACCTGATCCTCCTGCTTCTACCTTTCAAGTGTTGGAATTATAAGCATGCACCACCATACCTAATTTATGTAGTGTCGGGGAGAGAACCCAGGGCCTTATGCATGCTGGGAAAACACCCTACCATCTGACCTAAATTCCCAGTCCCTAAGTAAAGTGTTTGAGAGTTTCATATCTTTGAGGTTTTCATTTATGCAAGCATAATTTGTTGAAAATGCTATTCTCTGGATTTGCAGAGTAGTTCGTACTTGTAATCCTAAAACTCAGGAGACTGAGGCAGAGGAATCAGCTCAAGTTTGAGGCCAGTCTGGACTATATGAGACCCTGTTTCAAAAACGTCCAGGATAGCCAGAGCTGTTACACAGAGAAACTCTGTTTCGGGGAGGAAAAAAAAACCACAAAACATATACCAGTGTTCAGTTCAACATTCTTTGGAATCTTTGAGAAACTAAAGATTGTATGATTTTATATTATTTTATGTATTACTAATAGTAAGTATTGTACTTTAAAGTATAATGTTTGCTTAAATATTTTGGTGTTTTTAAGATGGTGTCTCATGTAAACCAGGTTGGCCTGGAACTCTATGTAGGTGAGGCTGACCTTGAACTCTTGATCCTCTTTCTCCTGTACCACCACCTTCAGCTTAAATCTTATAAAATACTAAACTTTAAGGATAATTTTTAAGAAAGAATATTTGAGTCAGTTGTGATGGCTTAGCATGTAATCTTGGTACTCAGGTGTCTAAGGCATGAGAATTTTGAGTTTCTGGCCCATCTGAGCTGCCAGATGAGATCTTATCTCAAAAGAAAAAAAAGTATCAGGTACAGCTCCTAAAATTTTTTTTGTAGGGTTTCTCTGTGTAGTTTTGGTGCCTGTCCTGGATCTTGCTCTGTAGACTAGGTTGGCCTCGAACTTATGGAGATCCACCTGCTTCTGCCTCCCAAGTGCTGGGAAGGCGTGTGCCACCACCGCTTGGCTATATTTTCTTTTTTAAAAAGATTAATTAGTTTATTTTTATTTCTGTGTTTCTGTATCTGCATGAGTTCATATGTTCATCACATGTGTGCAGACATCTAAAGAGGCCAGAGGGCATTGGAGTCACAGGAAGTTGGGAGCCACCACTCCATCCCCTGGGATTCATATATTCTGTGTACCTCTGCTTGGTGGGTTTGATTTAAGAAAGTTACTTTGCAAGCTAGTGGTGAATGCCTTTAATCCCAGCACTTGGAAGGCAGAGGCAGATCTCTGTGAGTTCAAGACCAGCCTGGTCTACATAGTGAGTTCCAGGACAGCCAAGGCTGTTATACAGAGAAACCCTGTCTCAAACTGCCCGCCCCCCCCCCCCCCCACACACACACACAAAGAAAGTTGCTTTGCTAAAGTAACTTGTTAACATGTATTTACTTATTTCATTGTGCAAGTTTGCATGCACAACGGCACATATGTGGAGGTCAGAGGACAAGTTCTAATTGGTTCTCTCCTTGTACCTTAGATTCCTGGGATTTGGTTTTATTGTATTTTTTGCTGCTGCTGCTGCTGCGGACTCCCCCATCCCAAACACTTCTTTCTGAAACAAGGTTTCTCATTACTGTAGACAGATCTGGCCTCGAACTCACAGAGATCCACCTGCCTCTGCTCTCAAAGTGCTAAGAATAAATAAATAAAGGAGTGTGCCTAGATGTTTATCTTTTGTTTTGTTGTTTTTTTAGATACTGTTTTGGTAGGAATTGTAGGCTGGCCTCAAACTTATGAACTTGCCTTTACCTCCTGAGTGCTGGGATAATAGGCATGTGTCACCACACCTCTTTGTGGTTTTTTTTTGTTATTGTTATTCTTGATATTTGAGGTTGGCATCTTACTGTGTTGCCCAACATGGTGTTAGGCTGTTGGGCTCAGGAGATCCTCTTATTTTAACTTTCTGGGTAGCTGCAATTATAAACAAGACCTACTAAACCCTGCTAAACCCAACTCTAAATGCCAAGTTGAGTATATTCACAAAATCCCATTTTGTCTTTTGTAGATGGTGTTGTCTGAGAAGGTTAGTCAGCTGATGGAATGGACCAACAAAAGACCTGTCATAAGAATGAATGGAGACAAGTTCCGTCGCCTTGTTAAAGCTCCACCAAGAAATTACTCTGTTATTGTCATGTTCACTGCTCTCCAACTTCATAGACAGTGTGTCGTGTGCAAGTATGATCTTTCATCTCCACTTTGAAATTTAATAACTTTTTGGTTTTTAACTATTTTTCTATTTCAGAAGAATCAAATTTGTGCAGTGAGTTTGTTAATATAAAGTGTATACCTTACTCAAAGGGTAAATAATAACAGACAATACTACTGTTTTATTTTTTTAAAGATTTATTTTTTATGTATTTTATGTATATGAGTGTTCTGTCTTAAGAAAGAAAGAAAGAAAGAAAGAAAGAAAGAAAGAAAGAAAGAAAGAAAGAAAGAAAGAAAGAAAAGAAAGAAAGGCAGGCTGGGCAGTGGTGGCACACGCCTTTAATCCCAGCACTCGGGAGGCAGAGCCAGGAGGATCTCTGTGAGTTCGAGGCCAGCCTGGTCTACAGAGCGAGATCCAGGACAGGCACCACAACTACACAGAGGAACCCTGTCTCGAAAAACAAAAACAAAGAGAGAGAGAGAGAGAGAGAGAGAGAGAGAGAGAGAGAGAGAGAGAGAGAGATTGAGAGATTCATGTAACAGCTTCAACAGTCAGAACAATGAGACAAATTACTTACAGAATAAGGGTAGCTGGGCATGGTGGAACACATCTGTAATCCTAGCACTTGGAAAACTGAGGAAGGAAGATACTCTACATACTAGGCTAGTCAGAGTTATATAACAAGACTACATCTAAAAAAATAGTGGGTAGTTTCAGGGACTGCGTTAGCCAAATGATCAAAGTTAATATTACCAGTAGCACAGTAACAAACATCATGCGTTTTATTTATTTATTTATTTATTTATTTATTTATTTATTTATTCATTCATTCATTTATTTATTTATTATAGAGTGTTCTGTCTGCATGTTTGTCTGCAGGCCAGAAGAGGGAATCAGATCCCATTACAGATAATAGTGAGCCACAGTGTGGTTGCTAAGAATTGAATTCAGGACCTCTAGAAGAGCAGCCAGTGCTCTTAATTGCTGAACCATCTCTCCAGCCCCCAATACTACTGTTTTATAATCAGTCTTAGTTGTGCATATTGGTAGCGGAGAAAGAATAAAATGTTGTAGCTATCATGAATTATTTAAAAATCAAAGAACTACCATTTGAATTGATAACCAATTTCTATGCTAGTTGCATTGACATAATTTTTTTATTACGTATGTGTACACACGTGTGGGTGAGTGCATTCATACCACTATGCACATGTGGAGACAAGAGAACAACTTTCAGAAGTCAATTCTTTCTCTCCACCATAGATTCTGGGGATAAAACACAAATCAACAAGCTTGCATGGCAAGTACTTCCACCCACTGAGTATCTCCCGGCCCCATGTTATGAGTACTTTCAGGCTGAGGATCTAGCTCAGGTTATCAGGGTAGAACACTCGCCTAGCATTAGAAGTCCTGGGTTCAGTCCCCAGTACTCCAAAAGAAAGGGTTTATAAGTGCTTTCAATTTCACAGTTTTTTTTTTTCCTTTTGGGATTTTATTTTATATTTCTGACACTCAGAAAGATTTGCTTTTTTTCAGTTGAAGAATGTTTGGGATATTGAACAAAATATACAAAATGTAGCTAGAGAATACATTTGTGCATGTCAAATTGAAATAGGCTCTAGGTTTAATCTCCAGCACTAAAATACATGCAAAACAGAAGAGGATGGAGTTAAAAGTTTATCACAGATGGAAAAAATGTTTTCTAGTTGGGCAGTGATGGCATACCCCTTTAATCCTAGCACTTGGGAGGCAGAGGCAGGTGAATCCAGGCCAGCCTGGTTTACAAAGTGAGTTCCAGGACAGCCAGAACTGTTAGCCAGAGAAACCCTGTCTTGAAAAAAAAATATTTTTTCTAGCAGAATAAGAATTAAAAAATAGTTGGGGATTTAGCTCAGTGGTAGAGCGCTTGCCTAGCAAGCACAAGGCCCTGGGTTCGGTCCTCAGGTCCGGAAAAAAAAAAAAAGAAAAGAAAAGAAAGAAGAATTAAAAAATAAAACAGCAACACTAGAACCCCAAAACTTTCTTTGATAAATAGTTATGTTTATGCATTTATGTTACTTAGACTTAACCCCAAAGGATTGAAAAGGTAAGATAAAGATATATATGGGGAAAACATATAAACAAACAGATCTTTAAAAGGAAAACATAAAAGGAAAATTCAAGGATAACTCAAGGCTTCAGATCATCTCAACTTCCTAGATTTTTCTTGTCACTTACCAAAGTAATTCATCTGATTGTATTTTTACTTACCAAATAGCATATGTGCTTCAGAGTGTGTGTGAGGGTTTGTACTTGTGTTCATATGTGTGCACCGGAGTGTAGAGGCCAGAGTGTTTGGTGTCATCTTCACAAGTGCTGTCTACCTTCTTTGAAGCAGGGTCTCTCCTTTGCCTGGAGCGCACTGGTTAGGCTGGGCTAGCGCCAGCCCAAGGGATCCACTTGTCTCTGCTTCCCAAGTACTGCAGTTACAAGAACACAACCACTCTTGCTTTTTAAACATGGCTTCTGGGAAATGAACTCATGTCCTTATACTTTCAAGGCAAGCACTTTACTGACTGAGTCATCTCCTCAGACTCCAGATTATATTTAATTTTTAAAATTGTAGACAGGGTCTCACTGTGGAGCCCTGGCTGTCCCGAAACCTGCTGTAACAGCAGGCAGGCTTTTAATGTTAGCAGTCCTCCCGTGGTTGCCTTCCGAGCGCTGGTATTACAGGCCCGTGCCAATGGGTCTGTCTGGCTACATGCTTGAGATTTTTTAGACAGGCTGTTAGATCTTTGCCTGATGATTTGGGGTCTCAAAATTGTGACAGTTTGGGGTATAGATCAGTGTTAGATTCCTGCCTAGAATGTGTGGAACCCTGGATTCCATCCTCAGCACCAAAACCAAAAAAATACGTGGACACTGTGTATAGTCATATATGCCCATAATCCTTCCTGCTGAGTTGTCTGAAACAGAAGGAGCATTTGAGACCAGTAGTGTGAGTCCAGGCTGAGCAACTTAGCAAGACCCTGTTTTCAAAACAGAAACCAAAAGTGAAAGCAGCACATCACCTGGAGAGAGAGCACAGCTGCTAGAGCCCATTATTGCTCTTGCAGAGGACCCAGTCTCAGTTCCAGGAACCCATGGTGTGCAGCTCATAACCTGCCTGCAACTCCAGTTTCAGGTAGATCTGATGCCTCTGGCCTCAGTGGGCACTGGCACCCCCACACAGACACACATACATATAAATGAATCCTTTAGTCCCAGGACAGCCAGAGCTATACAAAGAAACCCTGTCTCGAGAAAAAAAAAACACTGAAGGGGAAAGCCCCCACAACTTGTAGAGGAAATTAGCTGGATTTGTTTTTTCACTGACTACCAAAAATGTTTTACAGCCTGGCTGTGGTGGCGCACGCCTTTAATCCCAGCACTCGGGAGACAGAAACAGGCAGATCTCTGTAAGTTCAAGGCCAGCCTGATCTACAGAATGAGTTCCAGAATAGCCAGGACTACATAGTAAGACCCCATCTTGAAAAGAAATTTTTTTTTAGATTTATTTATTATTATGTATACTGTGTTCTGCCTGCATGTATGCCTGCATGCCAGAAGAGGGCGCCAGTTCTCATTACAGATGGTTGGGAGCCACCATGTGGTTGCTAGGACTTTAACTAAGAACCTCTGTAAAAACAGCCAGTGCTCTTCTTAACCGCTGAGCCATCTCTCCAGCCCAAAAAGAAAGTTTTTAAAAATTGTTTTGGGGGCTGGAGAGATGGCTTAGTAGTTCAATTCCCAGTACCACATGTCAGCTCACAACTGTAACTCCAGTTCCAAAGGGATCTAATACTCTCACACAGAATATATACAGGCAAAACACCAGTGCACATTAAATAAATAAATGAACCTAAAAAAAGGAAAAGATTATTTTGGGATTCAAAAATAAACCATATAAAGGTATATGGCATGAAATGTAATTACTAATTTCTAATGAGATCTCCAACACTTAGATATAAGGCTCCTTTTATACGTAGACAAAGTGTGTTCTAACCTTATCAACTATACCTGACTTACTTGCCAATGACTTTTTTTTTTCCCGAGACAGGGTTTCTTACTGTGTAACAGTCCTGGCTGTCCTGGATCTCAATCTGTAGATCAGGCTGGCCTTGAACTCAGAGATCTGCCTGCCTCTGCCTCTGACTTCTGGGATTAAAGGCGTGCGCTGCCACCACCACCTGGCTTGCCAATAATTTTTAATATTTCTTTCACTAAAAATTGCCATTATGCTTGGCAGTTGTGGCGCACGCCTTTAATCCCAGGACTCAGGAGGCAGAGGCAGGTGAATTTTTGAGTTCGAGGCCAGCCTGGTCTACAGAGTGAGTTCCAGGACAGCAAGGGCTACACAGTGAAACCCTGTCTTGAAAAAACAACAAAAATTGCTATTACTTAATTAGGTTTTGTTTTACTGCTGATAAGCTGGGTTGGTTTTTAAATTGTTTCATATTTTTTTTTTGTTTTATTCCCCACCAATCTGATTCCATTCAGGCAAGCTGATGAAGAATTCCAGATTCTGGCAAACTCTTGGCGATACTCCAGTGCATTTACCAACAGGATATTTTTTGCCATGGTGGATTTTGATGAAGGTTCCGATGTATTTCAAATGGTAAGATGTTTGGTTTCTTCTTTTATACAGGAATAAAGTATGGATAAAGCAAAAACCAGTTTGGTGATTATAAGAAGTTAAATAGTGGGGCTGGAGGGATGGCTACTTAGTTAAGAGCACTTGTTCCTCTTGCTGAGGACCTGGGTTTGGTTTCCAGAACCCACATCCATAACTCCAGTTCCAGCGGATCTGATAACCTGTCCTCTACAGGCACCAGGCATGCATGTAGTACACATTCATACATGCAAGCAAAACACTCAAACACATAGAATAAATAAATCTAAAAATATTGTTAAGTTAAATAGGAATAGTTTAATGTAAAAGGAAGAGTAGTTAGTGAACTAAAAGCAAAATTTGACTAATCAAAAGTAGTAATCACTGCCAACCAACTAAGTAAAATAGGCAGTAAGCAAGTAACATCCACCCGCTTTTAAGTTTGTTGTTGTGTGGCATGGTCTGTGTAACATAGGCTGGATACAAACTTCCAATCCTTCCTCCTCCATCTCCCAAGTGTTGGGACTGTAGGTGTTCATTGCCCTACCTCACAACTTACACACACACACACACACACACACACACACACACACACACAAAGAGTGTGTGTGTGTGTGTGTGTGTGTGTGTGTGTGTAAAGCAGAGAGGAATTTGTTCAATGTGGGAAGAACAGATAATTAGTGACACCCACCACTGGTACTAGTTTAAACAGAAGAATTGATTGGGACACAGGGAAAGAAGTGTATGTAATTAAACAGCCAGGTCAAGGTGTCATCTGATCATTGTCTCAGTTCTGGTTCATCAAGATGGTCAATCCAAGATCATCTCTGCCACCGAATGCAGCCTTGTCTTCCAGATAATTACCTTATTTGGCAGAAGGGTGTTCTTATCCTTCAAGGACTTGTTTTTCAGGGAATTCCACTTATACATATTTTTATTGTAAATACATAAAGAACAAGTCAGAGACAGTAACTTGTGTCTCTACTCCTAGCAGTTGGGAGGTGGCTGTCCTGGAACTCGCTGTGTAGACCAGACTGATCTTCAAACTCAGAGATCTACCTGCCTTTGCCTCCCCAGTGCTGGGGTTACAGGTGTGTGACCCCGTGTCTGGTGTTTTATTTCAAGACAGGGTCTCACTAAGTTGTTCAAGCTTGTCTTGAACTCAGTTTATTGCTCAAACAGTCCTCTTCCCATTTTAGTAACATGAGGTTGTTATAGCTATATAAATAATTTAGGTGTCATGAATGTATACTTAATTTTTTAATAGAATCTCTGAATAATCTAAAATAACTTGTATGGGAAATTTCCTGTTCAAGTTGTTATGTTACCTAGAAATTTCTATGTGGATAATAAAGTGTATTGTTACAGTCACAGGTAGCCTTGTGTTTGAAAGCCTGCTCCACAACAAATTTCAACTCTATGATCATGATCTTCATATATGTGAAAATCCTAAATTTCTACCAGGCATAGTGGTACATGTTTTTAATCCTAGCACTCAGGAAGCAGAGGCAGGAGGATTATTGCAAGTTCAAGGCCAGCCTGGATGACACAGCAAAACCCTGTCTGAAAAAAGGTCTAAATTTTAAAATTATTATTTGCCATCAAGATTATTTTCTTGGTAACTTATGTTTCCATGGCTACTCTTTATTTAGCTAAACATGAATTCCGCTCCAACTTTCATCAACTTTCCTCCAAAAGGAAAACCCAAAAGGGCCGATACATATGAGTTGCAGGTGCGAGGGTTTTCAGCTGAGCAGATTGCTCGGTGGATCGCTGACAGAACGGATGTCAATGTAAGTTTCTCTCCTTTACAAAAAAGTGTTTTTTACTGTCTTTGAATCTAAACAGGGGGTCATAGCTGGTTTTGTCTTCATGTCACTGAGATGGAGTAATTTGACGGTTCTTTCATAAGTAGGATTTGACAGCATCGTCTTGATAAAAAGTAAAATTATAAAATACCTTGTCTTAGCCTGTTGAGTTCAGACTAGAAACCATTTTCCTGACCTTAAGTGTGTGTAGTTGGCAAACATTTCCTAATCTAAAAGGTATTGTGTCTTGATTAACTGAAATAATACTATGCCTATAACATGTTGTTTCTAGGATATAGTTTAGACTGTTTGATTGGAGTAAAATGGTAAAAAAAATAGTATTTTTTCCTGAAAATACATTTTTTGAGTGCTTTCATTTCATTATTATTAATAGAAAATAAATTTTATATTTTAGAATGTTTTTCTCTCTCCTTTTCATTAGATTAGAGTAATTAGACCTCCAAATTATGCTGGACCCCTAATGCTGGGATTGCTTCTGGCTGTTATTGGTGGACTTGTGTATCTGCGAAGAAGCAATATGGAATTCCTCTTTAATAAAACTGGATGGGCTTTTGCAGCTTTGGTAAGTGAACTGAAGAAGAAAAATTGAAAAAGAACCTAATCTATATTCTTTACCTTTTTCTTTTTCTTTCTTTATTTTGTGTGTAGGCCACAGATTGACATTGGGTATCGTCCTCAGTCACTTCTTCAACTTACTTTTTTTTGAGATGTGGGTCTCTCTGAACCTGGAGTTCACCAGTGATCCCCAGAGATCCTCCTGTCCCCATATCCCTAATGCTGAGTTACAAGCACATATACTGCAACCAGAATTTTTTCTTGGGTTCTATTAGCTTTCATCTATGTGAAAAATAGCTTTTTGTTGTGTGTGTGTGTGTGTGTGTACAAATATGTTTGTGTACATACATACAACTGCACATGCATAGGCCAGAGAAGGATGACCAGAGTCATTCTCTGTTGTTCTCTGTCTTTTTTTTAAATCCCCCTGAGACAGGGTTTCTCTGTGTATCCCTGGCTGTCGTGGAACTCACTCTGTAGACCAGGCTGGCTTATTTTGGCTCTTTTGGGGGCCATTCATCCAGCTCTCAAATCACACATGGAGAGACTTACTATTACTTATAAACACCCAGCCTTGTCTTGGCTTGTTGCTATCCAGTTTTCTCAACTTTAAATTAGCCCATCTACCTTTTGCTTCTGGCCTTTTCCCATTCTTTTGCTTCTGCAAATCTTGCTCTTACTCCATTACTGGTTGTGTAGCTGGGTGGCTGTCTACTTCTTTTCTTTTCCCTCTATTTATTCTCTCTACCTGCCAGCCCCACCTATCTTCTCCTGCCTTGCTAGTGACCATTCAGCTCTTAAACCATCAGGTGTTTAGACGGGCACAGTAACACAGCTTCATGCAACAAATGCAACATAAACAAAAGTAACACACCTTAAATTAATATTCTGGGCTGGAGAGATGGCTCAGTGGTTAAGAGCAGTGACTGCTCTTCCAGAGGTCCTGAGTTCAATTCCCAGCAACCACATAGTGGCTCACATCACTTGTAATGAGATCTTGTGCCCTCTTCTGGCTGCAGGGACACATGCAGGCAGAATACTGTATACATAATAAATAAATAAACCTTTTTAAAAAATCATTCATTAATCAAGAAAATGCCGTATAGATTTTGAAAAAAAAAAAAAGAAAGAAAAAAAATAATATTCTACAACAGGCCTCGAACTCACAGAGATCTGCCTGCCTCTGCCTCCCGAGTGCTGGGATTAAAGGCGTGTGCCACCACCACCTGGATCCACCTTATTTTTTTAGACTGCATCTTGCACTGAACCTGAAGCTCCCCATTTGGCCTAGGCCAAAAAACTCTCGGGATCTGCCTGTCTGTTTCTTAACACAAGGACTCGAGGATGTACAGCCATGCCAGGCTTTGGGGGCTGGGGATTTACACTCAGGCCCTCTTGTTTTCACAGCAAGCAATTTACCCACTGAGCTGTGTCCCCAGCCCCATTTTTGTTTTGGTGAATATGCATGTTGGTGCTTGTTTGTGTAGGTGTGTGTGGAGGCCAGAGGTAACCCCCAGGTGTTATTCCTCAGGATCCATCTACCTTGGGGTTTGTTGTTGTTTTCAGAAGGTGTTTCACTGATTTGAGTGAGGTTGGCTGGAGTCCAGAAGAGGGCACAGGATCCCTTGAAGTAATAGGTTGTTGTGAACCACCTGGTGGAGGTTCTGGGAACCAAACTCCACTACTTTGCAAGAGAAGCAAATGCTCTTAACTGCTGAGCCATCTCTCCAGCCACATGCCCTCAGCCCCTTTTATTTGGATTCTGGAAATTGAACTTAGGTCATTGTTTTGATTACTTTTCTGTTGCTGTGACAAAGCACCTAACCAGGGCAACTTTATAAAAGAAAGCAGGGAGCCAGGTGGCAGTGGTGCACACCCTTTAATCCCAACACTTGGGAGGCAGAGCCAAGCGGATCTCTGTGAGTTCGAGGCCAGCCTGGTCTACAGAGCGAGATCCAGGACAGGCACCAAAACCACACAGAGAAACCCTGTCTCGAAAAAAAGAACAAAAAAAAAAAGTTGAAAAGAAAAGAAAGCAGGGCTACAGTTCATGATGGTGGAGTGAAGGAACAGCTGAGAGCCCACATCTCGATCCACAGTCAGGAGGCATAAAGTACTCTGGGAATGACACAACTCTTTTAAACTTCAGAGCTCACCCTCCTCCAAAAAGGCCACACCTCCAAATCCTTCCCCGACAGTTCTATCTACTGGATACTAAGCATTCAAACATAAGAGTTTATAGGTCTGTTTTAGTCAGTGTTCAATTGCTGTGAAGCAGTAGACCATAGCAACTCTTATAACGAAAAGCATTTAATTGGGGCTTGCTTGCAGTTCAGAGGTTCAGTCCATTATGAACATGGCGAGAAGCATAGTGGCACACAGGCAGACATAGTGCTGGAGGTAGCTGAGAGTTCTACATCTGAATCAGCAGGCAGCAGGAAGAGAGAGAGCCACTAGGCCTGGCTTGGGCTTCTGAAACCTCAAAGCCTACCCCAACAAGGCCACACTGATCCCAACAAGGCCACATGTCCTAATCCCTTCAAATAGTGACACTCCCTGTAGCTGGAAGATTTCCTGTGTCCTGGCCTGCTGGCAGTCGGGACAAATCTCTCCCACTTGTGTCCCCCAAGTAAACTCACAGAGGCTTATATTATTATAACTGCATGGCCATGGGTAAAGCCTTTTGCTAGCTAGCTCTATCTTAAATTAGCCCATAACTATTAATCTATGTATCCCCATATGTTCCATGGCTTTACCTGCATCCCATTACATGTTGCTCCTTAGGTGGCTTGCTGACATCTCTCCCCCTCCCCCCACCTTCTTCCTGTCTCTCTCTTTGAATTTCCTGCCTGCCTCTCAGCTGCCTTGCCATAGACCAAAGGGTTTTATTTATCAACCAATCAGAGAACACATATTTGCAGCGTACAGAAAGACATTTCATCCCCATCAACTCCCTATGAGCCTATGGGGGCCATTTTCATTGAATCCACCACAGGGGTTCATTCTCATTCAAAACTACCACATTCCACTCTCAGACCCCCCCACATAGAATTATGGCCATATCATAATACAAAATGCATTTAGTACAAATTCAAAAGTCCCCATGTTCATTTATCACCCTCCATCATGTGGGTCCCCTGGAGATCAAATACATTGTTAGGCATTTGTGGCAAATACCTTTATATGCAAAGCCATCTCTCTGGTCCTAAAATTTTGTATATTGTTGCTGGGCAGTGGTGGCACACGCCTTTAATCCCAGCATTCGGGAGGCAGAGCCAGGTAGAGCTCTGTGAGTTCGAGGCCAGCCTGGGCTACAGGGTGAGTTCCAGGACAGGCACCAAAACTACATAGAGAAACCCTGTCTCGAAGAAAAAAAAAAAAGAAAGAAAAAATAATTTATTTGAAAAGTAAAAATGTCTTATGTTTCCTAAATGGATAAGCATTTTCATGTACCTACTTATCTAGTCAATTGGGCTAGCTGGACCATGAATATTCCATTTTTTTTCCTAGTGTTTTGTACTTGCTATGACATCTGGTCAAATGTGGAACCATATAAGAGGACCACCATATGCTCATAAGAACCCCCATACAGGACATGTGGTAAGAGAAGTTGGGAATTTCTTTGCATTTTATACCAAAGTTAATGTAATTACGTTTACCCTGTGAGGCCAGAGCCAGCATATACAGGAACTAGATAGTTTTGATTCTTTAATCTCTGTTAAGGAACTCCAGTTACAATTAGAGCACACAGTACTCCAAAGTGGGTTGTTCTTTATTCCATTTGTTGAGTTCTTTTGAATAGGATGGCTAAGAAAGAAAGTCAGTCTCAAACTAAATATAAGAATTAATCAAGAATTTGAGCATCTATTATTTTTAGGCACTGTGTAGGTACTATCAGATTTGGTGATTGATTGGAAAAATGTGGTCCCTGTTGTCATGTTTACATTGTTTTTCCTCATTGTTTTATGCTCTCAAACATTAACTTTAAATTTGTATCAATAAACCAAATCCAGCCGGGCAGTGGTGGCACACACCTTTAATCTCAGCACTCAGGGAGGCAGAGGCAGGTGGATCTCTGTGAGTTTGAGGCCAGCCTGGTATACAGAGTGAGATCCAGGACAGGCTCCAAAACAACACAGAGAAACCCTGTCTCAAAAAACCAAAAAAAGCCGGGCGGTGGTGGCGCACGCCTTTAATCCCAGCACTCGGGAGGCAGAGCCAGGCGGATCTCTGTGAGTTCGAGGCCAGCCTGGGCTACCAAGTGAGTTCCAGAAAGGCGCAAAGCTACACAGAGAAACCCTGTCTCCGAAAAACCAAAAAAAAAAAAAAAATACAAACAAATAAAAAAACCCACTGTTTTTCTCATACATTTTTGTTATTAATTTTTATACATAGTATACATAGTATAAATACAAAGAAAGAAGTAAATAAATAATATAGAAATAGCTTTCAATAGCCTAACAAAGTATGGTACATGCTTACATACAGCAAGTGAATTGATAATTTCATAAGGTTTAACATATCATATTTTAGAGTTAGGACACTACAATTCAATGTATAATTTAAAGATTCCATTTTGTCTTCCTCTCCCAGAACTATATCCATGGAAGCAGCCAGGCCCAGTTTGTAGCTGAAACTCACATTGTTCTTCTGTTCAGTATCCTTTTACGATAAGTCTTTAGTGTTGGATTTTAATTTGCTTATTTTCTTACAGTCTTTTGCTCTCTGTACAGATTTGGTTGGAGCTGCTGTCCTAGTGCAGGCATAAGACCCTTTGGAGATTCTATTGCTTCTGTCTTCCTTCTTGACCCAATAAGTTATAGACTAAGGAGAGGCAAATCTTCAGTCTGACAAGCCAGGTTGATTAGCTCATTAATGTATGGATTTAGAAGAAAGATGAGGCTTAGGCAATGTTTAAAATGAAACATTAAACCGGGTGTGGTGGCGCACACCTTTAATCTCAGTGCTTGGGAGGCAGAGGCAGGAGGATCTCTGTGAGTTTGAGGCCAGCCTGGTCTACAGAGAGAGTTCAAGGACACCCAGAGCTGTTACACAGAGAAACCCTGTTTCAAAGAAATAAGAAATATCAATAAATAAATATAATGAAACATTATTTTAATAGGCTAAAGGCATAATTGGAGCTGAGATATACTTCAGTGGTTTAGCACTTACCTAGCATGTATAAGACCCTGAGTTCAATTCCTGGCATCGTTCAGAGAAAACCTAGATATAAAGAGCCACAGTAAGAAAAAGGAAAAATACTGGAGAAGAGACGTGGCTGAGTAACTTAACTTGAAAGCAAAAGCAAACCCAGCAGTGGGCTGGAGAGAAGGCCCAAACGGTAAAGAGCTTGCCTTCTGCCCACCCTGACAACCTGAGTTGGTTCTCCAGGACCAACACGGTGGAGGAAAGAACCAGTTTCTGTCAATTGTCTTCTAACCTCTACACATCTGCTGTGACACAAGTACACCTGTGTCACACACACCCATATATACAGCAATCAATTAATTATCAACATGGAAAATGGACAGGCGTTCCTCACAAGAGGCTACTTACTTAAGAGAAAGCAAAAGAAGGTAGAGATGAATATTGTCGGGTGGAGGGCCTCATCAGAACACCTGTTTCTCTCTTAGCACTTAATTACACCCACATGCAGCAGCATACATGTGCATCATGCCCATAATTAACTTAGGAATGGAAAGTACAGGTGATGTTCTCTGTTCTCCTTGAACATACTGGTTTTGTTTTAAACATTGATACTGCTTATTTTATTATTCAACTATGTGATGTGCTTACTGTTTGTAGTATTTCCATTTTGATGAATACAGCTACTGTTACTAAAATGAATAAGTATAAGGTCATGCCACATGAGGGATTTTCCTTTTTCATTAGAATAAGACAAAATTGCCTAGCTGAGTCATAATTTGTACTCTGAATATTAATTGTTGAAAATCTGGGAAGTTTTTGAGATTATTTTCCATTAAAAGTGAATTGCTATTGTCTTAAATGGTGTGGATTTCAAGTAAGTCCTTTTCAGAGATGATAAAGTGCTAACAGTGACTACTTAGTATTTTGTAGTGTATGAAGTTAGAAAATTGCTGTGTTCAGGCAGTTTATTTCACGGTATGATATCCAAAAAGCTCATTTTATACTTTTTTTTTAAATGTATGAGTGTTCTGTCTGCATGTATGCCTGCATGCCAGAAGAGGGCATCAGATCCCATTATAAACAGTTGTGAGTCAGCATGTGGTTACTGGGAATTGAACTCAGGACCTCTGGAAGAACAGCAAGTGCTCTTAGCCACTGAGCCATCTCTCCAGCTACAAAAGCTCATTTTATACATAGGTGGGATTTGTGTTTTTTGTTGTTGTTGCTGTTTTTCTTTTGTTTTGCTTTTTTGAGACAGAGTTTCACTGTATAGCTCTGACTATACTGGGACTCGCTCTGTAGACCAGGCTGGCCTCCAACTCAGAGATCCTCCTGCCTCTGCTTCCTGAGTGCTGAGATTAAAGGCATGCATCACCACTGCCAAGCATAAGCGGGATTTTTTTTCCTTTTTTTTTTTTTGAGACAGGGTTTCTCTGTGTAGTTTTGGTGCCTGGACCTCACTCTGTAGACGAGGCTGGCCTCGAACTCACAGAGATCCGCCTGGCTCTGCCTCCCAAGTACTGAGATTTAAAGGCATGCACCACCACCACCTGGTTCAACCTTACTTTTTAATTAAATCTTTATAATAAATAATATTGTATAATATTAGAGTATTAGTTTTGGTTACTGTTTTAAAATTAAGACTTGAAGGTTTATATATTCATCTTAATTTTCTTCATGAGAAACTGGGAATAGGAAAGTGGTATGTCTTTTGTGGCTACATGAATTCTCCTTAACCAGTTTTTCTAAGATGGTGGAGTTACCTTAGGCATGGTGCTTTTATGTGAAGCTGCTACCTCTGACATGGACATTGGGAAGCGAAGGAGTAAGTCACAGAGCACAGTGTTCCAATTCTGCCTTTAATGGAGAAAAAAACAACCCTCTCTAATTAATTTTCCCTTTATAGAAAATACAAAAAAGAAACTGAAACTTCTAAGAAGAGTGTTCTATATTATTCCACCAAAAACAACTAATAATTTTAATATAATCTATTTCTTTCCACTTTTTTTGGTTAATTTTTTTGTTTGTTTTGAGATAAGCTCTGCTATGTGGCCAAGCTGACTTTGACCTTGCAGTCCTCCTGCCTCAGCCTGCTCCATGTTCATCATCTCTTTCCACTCATAAGAACACCTTGTAGCCAGGTGGTGGTGATGCACACTTTTAATTCCAGCACTTTTGAGGCAAAGGCAGGTGAATCTCTGAGTTCGAGGCCAGCCTAGTCTGCAGAGCAAGTTCCAGGACAGCCAGGGGTACACAGAGAAACCTTCTCTCAAAAAACCAAAACCAAAAACATGCAAAAAACACAAGAGCATCTTGATTTTTTGAGACAGGTCTCATAGAGCCTAGATCGGTTTCAAACTAGCTAACCTTGAATTTCTGATCCTCATCTTTCCGCCTTCCAAGTATTAGGATTAAAGATAATGCCATTGTGTCTGGTTCTGTGCTTTGGTGGGGACTGAACCCAGGGATTGGTATGTGCTAGGCAAGTACTTTACCAACTAACCCACTGCTCCAGCCCTGTCTGTAAAAACGATTTAAAAAACTGTGTATGTGGGAACCAGACTTGATGGTACTGGCCCATAATTCCATACATTTAGGAGGGTGAGGTAGGAGGATCACAAGTTCAAGGCCTAACTGCTCTATAAAATGAGATGGAAGCCAGACTGCAAGACTGTCTCAAAATAAAACAGTCAAAAGAAGACTGGGCATATAACTGTGGTAGAGTACTTGCCTAGCATGTACTAGGCTCTAGATTCAATCCCCAATATCCAAAACAAAACAACAGAAAAAACTGGGCAGGCCTGGGGATATAGCTCTGTGGTGGGGTGCCTGTCCTACACAGACAAGGTCACCAACAGTACTAAAGGAGTGTGTGTGTGTGTGTGTGTGTGTGTGTGTGTGTGTGTGTGTGTGTGTGTGTGTTTTGAATTTTATACTCACTTTAAAAATTAAACCCTTGGGAGGTAGAAGTAAGATTTATGCAAGTTTGAGGCCACACTGGTGAACATAGCAAGTTCCAGGACAGACAGGGCTATATGTTGAAGACCTTTCCTTAAAACAAAATAAACAAAAAAAACCTAGGTAGAGAGTGTCAGCACACACCTGTAATTCTAAAACTTGGACCCCTGGAAGCATCAACTTTTTATGCTTTAGAACATTCGCATATTATTGAGTGTGGTAGTATAGTCTATAATCCCAGCACGCCAGACTGAGACAAGATGATTGCTGCCAGGTCAGGCTTTCCTTTAATAGGTAGCAAAACCCTGTCTCAAAAACAAAAAATCTGTACAAGGTGACACACAATTCAAGCGCTTGGGAGATAGAAGCAGAAGGAATAAGGAGTTCAAGGCCATCCTTTGCTACATAGTGCGTTTGAGGTCACCTCAGATTACATAAGACCTTCCAAATATTCACACATTGGAAGATGCCTACAATATAATTTCTAGTTAGCATAATCTCTGGAATTTTGTTAAAATATAAAAATCATTCATACCTAATATTTTATTTTCTGTAAAAAGATGAATATATTAGACTTCTGATTTAACAGATACTTTTGCCAAGCATGGTGGTGCATACCTGTAATCCCAGCAACTTCCAGGCCATTCACTGTTACATAGTGAGACCCTGTCTCAAAAAATTATAAAAATAAGCCGGGCAGTGGTGGCGCACGCCTTTAATCCCAGCACTCGGGAGGCAGAGCCAGGCGGATCTCTGTGAGTTCAAGGCCAGCCTGGGCTACCAAGTGAGTTCCAGGAAAAGGCGCAAAGCTACACAGAGAAACCCTGTCTCGAAAAACCAAAAAAAAAAAAATTATAAAAATAAATCCTTCATGTTACAAGAAGAATATATATTTATTAACCATTTAATATATAATACATGTCTGATTTTTTAATTTTCTAGATTTAAGTATTTTCATTTATTATATTATTTATTTCTTGTATGTTTGTGTGCACACATACATGCATGTGAATGTGTGTGAGCATGCTACAACATGCATGATGAAGTGAAAGGATAACTTGTAGGAATTCATTTTCTCCTGCTATGTGGGTCCTGGGGATCCAATTCAGTTAGTCAGGCTTGGCAGCAAGTACCTTTTTTTACTTTTCTTGATGGCCCAATTGTGATTTGTTTCTTGTTTTTTTAAACTTTTTTAATTTTTTTGTTTTTAATACATCCCAGTTGCAGTTTCCCCTCCCTCCATTCCTCCTATTACCTCTCCCACCTCCCCTTTCCCCCATATCCACTGTCCTCTGTTTCCCTTCAGAAAAGAGCGAGCCTCCCAAGAGTATCCACCAAACACAGCAAGATACAATAAGACCAGGCACAAACCCTCATATCAAGGCTGGATGAGACAACCCAGGAGGAGGAAAAAGTCCCAAGAGCAGGCAAAAGAGTCAGACACCCCCACCCCTACTGTAAGGAGTCCCACAAAAGCACCAAGCTAACAAACATAATATATATATATATATATATATATATATTTGCAGAGTACCTAGTTCTGACCCATGCAGGCTCCCTGATTGCCACCTCAGTCTCTGTGAGCCCCTATGATTCGTGTTTAGTTGAAGTCTGTAGGCCATGTTCTCCTGGTATCCTTGACCCCTCTGGCTCCTACATTTCTTCCTCCCACTCTTCTTCGGGGTTTCCCAAGCTTGAAGAAGAGGGACCCAGGGGAGATCTCCAATTTGGGCTTACTCTCTGCCTGATGTTTGGCTGTGGATTTCTGCATGTGCTCCTGTCAGCTGCCAGTGGTAGCCTCTTTGATGATGATTGAGCTAGGCACTGATAGATGAATATATAAGGATATTGTTAGGAATCATTTTATTAATTTTTTTTCTAAAATAGATCTCTGGGCTATCCAGCTCTGGTTCCTGGTCATCCAGGCAGTGGGCATGGGCTCCATCTCAGGATGTGGACCTCAAATTAGACAAGTCACTGGTTGGCCACTCCCACAAGTTCTGTGCCTCCATTGCCTGAGTACGTCTTGCAGGCGGGATAGATTATAGGTAGAAGGTTTTGTGGCTGGGTTATTGTCCCAGTCCCACCTCTGGAAGCCTTGCCTGGTTACAGGGGATGGCCAGATCAGGCTATGAATCCTCCATTACTATAAGTCCTCCCTAAGGTCACTCTTGGAGCATCCTTGAAGTTTCTCCTAGACTAGATTTCCACATCTCTCTCTCTCTCTCTCTCTCTCTCTCTCTCTCTCTCTCTCTCTCTCTCTCTCTCTCTCTCTCTCTCTCTCTCTCACACACACACACACACACACACATACTCTCTCTCACACACAAATGCCCTCCTGTTCCAGTACACTCTCCCTCCATCGCCACCCCCCACACAAACACACCTGATCCCTCCTGTTCCCATCACCACCCACTCCCAGTCCACCCGATAATTCTATTTCCCCTTCCCAGAGACATCCATGCATCCCCCTTTAGATCCCTACTTGTTACTTAGCATTTCTGGGTCTGTAGATTGAAGCATGATTATCATTTACTTAGCAGCTAGCATCCACTTAAAAGTGAGTACATACCATGATGTCTTTCAGGGTCTAGATTACCTCACTCAGGTAATTTTTTCTATTTTTTGTTTGTTTTTTGAGACAAGGTTTCTCTATAGCTTTAGCTGTCCTGGAACTCACTCTGTAGACCAGGCTAGCCTCAAACTCACAGAGATCCTCCTGTCTCTGCCTCCCAAGGTGTGCGCTACAGGGTTTCTCTGTGTAGCTTTGTGCCTTTCCTGGAACTCTCTTGGTAGCCCAGGCTGGCATCGAACTCACAGAGATCCGCCTGGCTCTGCCTCCCGAGTGCTGGGATTAAAGGCGTGTGCCACCACCGCCTGGCTTGATATTTTTTTTAACAGCTGAGTAATGCTCCATTGTTTAACTGTACCACATTTAATTCATCTACTCTTCAGTTGAGGAACATCTTGGTTTTTTTCCAGTTTCTGGTTATTATAAAGTTGCTATGAACATAGTTGAGCAGTTGTCCTTATGGTTGGATGGAGCTTTCTTTGGGTAAGAGTGGTATAGCTGAGTCTTGAGGTAGATTGATTCCCAATTTTCTGGGAAAACTGCCATAATGATTTCCATAGTAGCTCTACAAGTTTGTACTCCCACCAGCAATGGAGGAGTGTTCCCCTTGCTCCACATCCTTGGCCAGGATGAGCAGTCACTTGTGTTTGATCTTAGCAATTCTGACAGGTGTAAGATGGGATCTCAAAGTAGTTTTAATTTACATTTCCCTGCCTGATGGCTAAGGATGTTGAGTATTATTTTATTTCTCAGTCATTTTCTTTTCCTCTATTGAGAATTCTCTGTTTAGATCTGTACCCCATTTTTAAAATTGGATTATTTCTTTTCTTGATATCTAGTTTCTTGAGTTCTTTATATTATTTTGGATATTACCCTCTACCTGATATGGCATTGGTGAAAATATTTTCCAATTCTATAGGCTACTAATTTGGCCCCTTCATGGTGTCCTTTGCCTTACAGAAGTTTTCAGTTTCGTGAAGTCCCATTTACTAATTGTTAATGTCAGTGCCTGTGCTGTTGGTGTTCTGTTCAGGAAGGTTGTCTCCTGTGTCTGTGTGTTCAAGGCTGTTCCCCACTTTCTCTTCTGTCAGGATCAGTGTTTCTGGTTTTATGTTGAGGTCTTTGATCCACTTGGACTTGAGTTTTGTGAAGGGTGATAAATATGGATCTATTTGCATTATCTACATGCAGACATTCAGTTTAACCAGCACTATTTGTTGAAGATGCTTTCTTTTTTTTCCATTGTATAATTTTGGTTCTTTTATCAAAAATGAGGTATCTATAGGTGTATGGGTTTATGTCTGGATCTTTGATTCAATTCCATTGATCAGTATGTCTGTTTTTCTGTGAATACCATGTGTTTTTTTGTTTTGTTTTGTTTTTTACTATAGTTCTGTAGTAGAGTTTGAGATCAGGGATGGTGATACCTCCAGCAGTTCTTTTATTGTTCAAGATTGCTTTTAATCTATCCTGGGCTTTTTGGTTGTTTTTGGTAAGATAGCTATTTTTACTATGTTGATCCTACTGATCCATGAACATGAGAGGTCTTTCCATCTTCTTGATATCTTCTTCTATTTCTTTCTTCAAAGACTTGAAGTTTTTGTTTTTGTTTGGGATTTTGTTTGTTTGTTTGTTTGGGAGAGAGGGGTTCAAGACAGGGTTTCTCTAATAGATCCCTGGCTGTCCTGGAACTTGTTTGTAGACCAAGCTGGCTTTGAGCTCACAGAGATCCGCCTGCCTCTGCCTCCTGAGTGCTAGGATTAAAGGCATGTGCTACCACACCTGGCTAGACTTGAGGTTTTCATTTTGCAGGTCTTTTGCTTGCTCTGTTACCCCAAGCATATTTTATATTATTTGTGGTTATTGTGAAGGGAGTTGTCTCCCTGATTTCTTTCTCAGTTCATTTGTATACAGAAGGGCACTGATTTTTTTGGAGTTAATCTTACATCCAGCCACTTCACTGAAAGTATTTCTGAGCTGTAAGAGTTCCCTGGCAGAATTTTTTGGGGTCACTTATGTGTACTATCTTATCATCTGCGAATAGCAATACTTTGACTCCATCCTTTCCAATTTGTATCCCCTTGATCTCCTTTAGTTGTCTTATTATTGCTCTAGCTAGAACTTCAAGTACTATATTGAATAGATAGGGAAAGAGTGGACAACCTTGTCTTGTTCCTGATTTTAGTGGAATTGCTTTGAGTTTCTCTCCATTTAATTTAATGTTGGCTTTAGACTTGCTGTAAATTGCTTTTATCATGTTTAGGTGTAGACGGATGAATCTCTCCCGTCCACTATTCCCAAATACCTGGCAGCCACTTCCCAAATAATTGACTTGGAGGCTTAATATAAATTATAAATGCCCAGCCAATAGCTTAGGCTTGTTGCTAGCTAACTCTTACACTTACATTAACTCATAATTCTTATCTATGTTTAGCCATGTGGCTTGGTACCTTTTCTCAGTATGACATTCTCATCTTGCTTCTCTTCATTTGCCAGCAACTCTCTGACTCTGCCCTTCCTCTTCCCAGAATTCTGGCTCTCCTGCCTAACTTTATCCTCTTCAGCTATTGGCCAGTCAGCTTGTTTATTAAACCAATCACAGTGACATATCTTCACAGTGTACAAAGGGATTATTCCACAACATTTAGGTATGTTCCTTGTATCCCTACTCTCTTCAAAACTTATGAAGGGGTGTTGGATTTTGTTAAAGGCTTTTTCAGCATCTAATGAGAAGAAAATGTGGAGTTATTTTCTTTCAGTTTGTTTATGTGGTGGATTACATTGATAGATTTTTGTATGTTGAACCATCCCTGCATCTCTGGGATGAAGCCCACTTGATCATGGTGGGTGATCTTTTTGATGTGTTCTTCAATTTGGGTTGCAGGTATTTTATTGATTATTTTTGCATCAATGTTTATGAGGGAAATTGGACTGTAATTTTCTTTTTTTGTTGAGTCTTTCTGTGGTTTGAGTATCAGGGTGACAGTGGCCTCCTAAAATGAATTGGGCAATGATCCTGTTTCTCTTTTGTGGAATAATTTGAGGAATATTGGTATTAGCTCTTCTTTGAAAGTCTGGTAGAATTCTCCCCTAAAACCATCTGGCCCTGGACTTTTTTAGGTTGGGAGACGTGTAATGACTGCTTCTATTTCAGTAGGAGTTATAGGTCTATTTAAATTGTTCATCTGATCTTGATTTAACTTAGTAAGTGGTACCGATTGAGAAAATTATCCATTTCTTTTAGATTTTCCAATTTGGTGGAGTACTGGTTTTTTAGTTGTTTTGTTTGTTTGTTTGGTTGGTTTTTTTTTTTTTTTTTGGTTTGTTTGGGTTGGGTTTTTCAAGACAGGGTTTCACTGTGTTGCCCTCGATGTCTTTGAACTTGATCTGTAGACTAGTCTGTCCTGGAACTCACAGAGATCCACCTGCCTTTGCTTCCTGGATGCTGGGATTAGAAGCATATGCCACCACCACCCCACCCCAGCTTTTTCTTTCCTTCTTTTCTTTGGGTGGGGGCGGTGTACAGTTTTTTTAAAGTACGTCCTTGGGCTGGAAAGATGGCTCAGAGGTTAAGAGCACTGGCTGCTCTTCCTGAGGACCAGAGTTCAATTCCCAGCAACCACATGGTGGCTCACAACCATCTATAATGAGATTAGTGCCCTCTTCTGGCAAATGTATACATAATAAATAAATAAAAATATATTAAAAAAATAAAGTACGTCCTTATGATTCTCTGGATTTCCTCTGTGTCTGTTGTTATGTCCCCCTTTTCATTTCTGATTTTGTTTATTTAGATATTGTCTCTCTGCCTTTTCGTTAGTTTGGTAAGAATTTGTCTATCTTGTTGATTTTCTTAAAGAACTGAGTCTTGGTTTCATTAATTCTTTGTATTTTTCTCTTTGTTTCTATTCATGGATTTCAGCCCTCAGTGTGATTGTTTCCTGCAGTCTACCTCTCTTGGGTATGCTTGCTTCTTTTTATTCTAGAGCTTTCAGGCGTGCTGTCAAGTTGCTACTATGAGATCTCTCCGGTTTCTTTATGTAGGCACTTGATGCTATGAACTTTCTCCTTAGCACCGCTTTCCTTGTGTCCCATAAGTTTGGGTATGTTGTGTATTCATTTTCATTGAATTGTAGGTACACCACCACCTGGCATCTTTTTTTTTTAAAGATAGTCTCACTATATAGCCCTGACTAGCTTGGAATTTGCTATGTAAAAAGAGCATGCTTGCATCTGAACTCCCCATGTAGATCAAGGTGGTCTTGAACGATTGGTTCTATATTTTACCTCCTGAGTATTGAATTACATGTGTGCTCCACCACACATGGCCTTTCTTTAAGATTTTTGTTTGTTTGTTTTTGTTTTTGTTTTTTTGAGACAGGGTTTCTCTGTGTAGCTTTGCGCCTTTTCCTGGAACTCACTTGGTAGACCAGGCTGGCCTCGAAATCGCAGAGATCCACCTGGCTCTGCCTCCCGAGTGCTGGGATTAAAGGCGTGCACCACCACCGCCCGGCTTAAGATTTATTTTTATAATGCTTAATTATATGTCTGTCTGTGTTTGTCTGTGTATGGGTATGCGCGCGTGAGTATAGGTGCCCTTGGAGGCCAGAGGTGTTGGATCCCTCCTGGAATTGGGGGTTACAGGTGATTGTGAACTACATGATAGGAGTGCTTGGAGGTAAACTTGTGTCCTCTGCAAGAGCAGTCCTTACTGCTGACTGCTGAGCCATCTCTCCAGCTCTATGTTTGACCTTTTTTGTCTTTTGGAGATGATCTCACGTAGGCCAAGCTGATCTCACACTTACTATGTAGTCTAAGCTGGTCTTGAACACCTGATATTCATACCTCCTCTTCCCAAATGCTGGGATTACAGACATAAGACAATAGTTTAACATTAAATTATTGAAGGCTGTGATGCTTTTATTTAATTTATCTTTTTTATCTCTCAAGACAGGGTCTTGCTATGCAGCCCTGGTTAGCCTGGAACTTGCTTTATAGACTGACCTGACCTTATATCCTGCTGCCTCTGCTTCTGCCTCATGAATCCTGGGATTATATGCATGTACCACCATGTCTAGTGAGTGTGATATATTTAAAGAAATGTATTGTTTCATTTGATTAAATTGCACAGGAACACAAATAGACAATTGCAATGTAGTGGAGTAAGCTTACGAGCAATGCAAACTCTGCAAGATTAAAAAGATGGGAGCTGGGCATAGTGGCAGATGCCTTTTATTCCAGCACTTGGGAAGCAGAGGCAGGTGAATCTCTCTGAGTTTGAGACCAGCCTGATGTACATGGTGAGTCCCAGAACAGCCAGAGCTACACAAAGAAACCATGTCTGGGGCGGGAGGTGGGGCGGGGATGAGAGTGACTCTCAGAGAAGCCCATACCTATGCTCTGTGATGTGCCTTTCTTCCAGGGCACCCCTCTTCCTCCTAAGCCTTGTCTTCAGAATCCAGAGTAAAATGATAAACCCTATCACTTATAATAGAGCTTAAATCTATTGGAAAGCTGTTTCTTAGTAAAATTTCCTTTTTGGAAGTATGAAGCCTACACTGTGCTGGTGATTTAGTAGGTACAACCTGATGATTTTTACTCTTTTTTTTTCCTCACAGTGATGTGTGTGGCTGGAATTGGACTTGTTGTGTTATTCTTCAGTTGGATGCTCTCTATCTTTCGATCAAAATACCATGGCTATCCATACAGGTATATTCTTATTTTACCTATACTTAAAATACTTAGAGTTAGTATTATATTGCTTTATAATATTTTGGTTTTTTGTTGTTTTTCTTTCTTTTTTTTCGAGACAGGGTTTCTCTGTGTAGCAGCCTTGACTGTCCTGGAACTCACTCTGTACACCAGGCTGGCCTCGAACTCACAGGGATCCTCTTGCCTCTGCCTTCCAAGGCAGTAAGTTCCAGGACAGCTAGAGCTATTACACAGAGAAACCCTGTCTCAAAATAATAATAATAATAATAATAAATTTAAGAAAACCTTACAAACAAAACTCCTTATAACCCCACAAAAGAAATCCAAGGGCTGGGACTAAAGGTGTGCACCACTGCACAGCCTGTAATATTTTTATTGCTTAGCTTTTTATTCCTTCATTTTGAAAAGTCTCTTGACTTCTACTTTTTTTCTGTTTTGGTTTTGTTTTTGTTTGCAACAGGATCTCACCTACCCCAGGCTAGCCTTAAACTCCTGATCCTCTTGTCTCTATCACCCAAGTTCTGGAATTATAGGCATACACTACCATACTCAGCCTTTTGGAGGGGGTCCTTTTATTTAAGACTGTGTTTTATGTGTTGTTGGTGGTTTTTTGTGTATCCCTCACTGGCTTGTAACTCATTATGTAGACCAGACTGCCTATGAACTTGGCAGCAGTGCTTCTGCATCCCAAGTGCTGGTACTAGGGGCATGTACCTCCCTTGGCCTGGTCTGTGTGGTATTCTCGTTCTCTCCCTCTGTCCCTCTCTCCCTCTTTCCCTCTCTCTCTCCCTCTCTCCCCCTCTCCTCCCCCCCCCCTTTGAGATGGGGCCTCCAAATCATAGAGATCTGCCTGTGTTTGCCTTCCAGTGCTGGGCTTAAAGGTTATGTATCACCATGCCCAGCTGTCTGGTGATTTCTTTTGTGGGGTTATAAGGAATTTGGTTTGTAAGGTTTTTTTATTTTATTTTATTTCATTTTTTGGGTTTTTTGAGACAGGGTTTCTCTGTGTAATAGCTCTAGCTGTCCTGGAACTTACTTTGTAGACCAGGCTGGCCTCAAACTCACAGAGATCCAACTACCTGTCTCCCAAGTGCTGGGATCAAAGGTGTGTGTCACTACCACCCAGTTTTGTTTGTGAGTTTTAAAAAAATATTTTATTTTTTTATTTGTGTGTGAGAGAGAATATATATACTACATGTATGCAGAGGCCAGAAGAGGACATCATTTCCCCTGGAGCTGGGGTTAGAGTTATAGGATGCTCTATGTGGGTACTAGAAACTGAACTCAGGTCCTCTAGAAGAGCAGCAAACACTCTTAATCACTGAGCCATCTCTCTGACTCCTTGGTTTTTTGTTTATTTGTTTGTTTTGTTTTGTGTGTCCGTGTGTGTTTTAAGAAGTGGTGTCATGTTTTCTGGAGCTGGAGTCATCGGTGCTTCCCAGTACCCATGTATGTCAGGTGGCTCACAGCCATCCATAACTCCAACTCCAGGGGATCCACTGCCTCTAGCTGCTGAGGGCACTTGCACTCGTGCACACATACATGCAGACACATACATAACACATAATTAAAATTAATAAAAATAAATCTATAAAAAAATCAGAAAAGGAAACAGCTACATAGTTTGAAATGTTCATAGAGATCGCTGTTGCTAGGGGAGGAAATTGTTATATTTTAGGTTCTTGGTTTTGCTGTTACAGGGAACTGAAATGGTGGCTGGACTGTGTTGGTTCTACAAACTGAGTATTGGTTAACATAATTTTTTCTAAACTGTTTGTTTGTTTGTTCGCGACAGGGTTTCTCTGAGTAGCTTTGGTGCCTCTCCTCGAGTTCGCTCTGTAGGCCAGGCTGGCCTCGAACTCACAGAGATCCGCATGGCTCTGCCTCCCGAGTGCTGGGATTAAAGGCGTGCGCCACCACCTCCACCCGTGGTTAACATAATTTTTTAAAGATTTATTTCTATCTGTATGAGTATTTTACCTGCATGTGTATATGTGTGTATAGCACATGCATGCCTGGTGCCCACAGAGGTCAGTGAAGGGTTTTGGGGCCCCTGGAACTAGAGTTACCAGAAGTTGTGAGTTGCCATGTGGATGCTGGGAATTGAACCTGAGTCTTCTGCAAAAGCTGTAAGTGCTTTTAACTGCTGAGCCACCACTCCAGCTTATATAATTTCTGTTTTAATACATCATCCTATGGTATACCACTATGAATACTGAGCCAGGTATGGTTATTACAGACCTATAATCCCAGCACTCGGAGGCAGAGGCAGGATCACATCTGGATTATCTTTGCCTATATAATGAGTTTGAGGACAACTTGGACTATCTGAGACACTGTCTCAAAAAAAAAAAAGGAAGACTACTGGGTCTTTCAGTGTTTCTCTTTTTGTTATTGATACTCAGGTCATGGTACGTATATTAAAATCAACATACTATGTATTTATAAGAAGTTTTCTATCAGAGACTAATATATTATTATATATTTTGTTTCAGCTTTCTGATGAGTTAAAGAGGATTACAGAGACACAAACTGTGTGGTAATAATGGAAACTGAAAAATAAGAAATATGTGGTGTTTGAAGAATGCAACTCATGTATTTTGTATTACCTCTTTTTTGTCAAGTGATTTAAATAGTTTAATCATTTAACCAAAGATGTGTAGTGCCTTAACAAGCAATTATAAGATCATGAAGTATTTGAAATTATTCTCCTCTTAACTTTCCCTTCCCTATGAACTTATGAAACATTTGATTTTTGTAGAATTAAGTACTTTATAATAATTTAAAACTACTACTTCATTTTACTTAGAGCAAAACTTGAAACTACTTTAGTTAACTTTTGGTCATCTGATTGATCTTCTACGAGGTTGGGGATGGAAGGTTCTAAGCAGGAATTTCCACCTCTGCCTATTACAAACAGCTGCATCTGGAAGCCATCATTAGTTTTCCTCTGGGCAGGTGTATGAGATTTACATCTTTCCTTTTGGGCCAAGGTATCATATGCACTATGTGAACTTCTGAAAATGGACCATGTAGCCTTTGGAAAGTTAAATCTGTCTTCTTCCTGTATCTTTCCTACTGAAATCAGAGCTACATATGCCTTTTTTATACATTAAGAAGTACCTCTAACTACAAGCCTATGATTTCTGCATGAATATGCTATAACTACCTTGTACATGGAAAGATTTCTGACTCATGTTTCTAGTTTTATTTAAAGGCCCTTCTCTAATAATAATAATTTGTTGCTAAAAATCAGTATAACTTATAAGTGGTCTCAAATGTTTGTGTAAGTTAGTTAGACATTGTCGTTAATCTCATTTTTACCTAACAGAAAAATAAGCTGAGTTGTGTTCATGGAAAGGACTCTCTTAGAAAGAGAAAAGAAAATCATGAAATGTTGATTTGCTGCCTATGGATAGAAATGAAACGTTTTGCCAGGCTTATGGCAGACATAGGCTGGTCTTTGTTTGTGGCCAGCCTGGACTACATAGTGAGACTCTGTCTCAAAAAAAAAGAAAGGAAAGAAAAGAAAAGAAAAGAAAAAGAAAGAAAAGGAAGAGAAATGAAATGTTTTCAAGCTGAGGTTGTAGCTCGGTAGTAGAGTGCTCGCCTAGCATGAGTAACACTCTGGGTTCAATCCTCAGTGCCACAAGTAAAAGGACCTATTTCTTAAAACCTGGTCTGTGAATTCTGTTCATTTGTTTGTTTTTAAAGGCTGTTCCTTGAAACCTGGCTGTTTTTTAAATAAGTATTCCTTGAAGCCTGCTCTGGCTTTTGTTTTTTTTATGTGTTTGTTTTCTAAAAGAGATGTTTCTTGAAACCTGGTCCTTTTTCTTTGTTTTTGCCTTTTTGAGATATAGCACTGGCTGGTCTTGAACTCCCTTATGGAGACCCAACTCACCTCCAGCTCACATTGATCCTCATGTCTCAGCTTTCCAAGTGCTGGATTACAGGCATGCACCACCATTGACCCTGATCTGCTTTCTGCTATCGTTTTAGAGATACAAAGAATCGGGGTGTGCACATGTCTCAGCTCTTAGTTGCCCTGGTGGCTGAAGTGGGATCCCTGCAGTCCAAGAATTTGAGGCACAGTCTAGCATCATATCAACACCCCATTTAAAAAATATGCCTATAATAAAATTGTGAAGGGATTGTGTTTGAATTTTGTCTTTTTCTCTGATAGCAGAAATAACCATATAAGCTAACTAAATTTCCATGAGGAATATTTAAGTCATGGTTATAATATGTCTAACTCTGGCCTCCACCAGAGTTGTGAAGAGTAATTGGAAATGCCACTGTTAAGAACATGTGGGGTTGGGATATAGCTCAGTGGTAGAGCACTTGGCTAGCATGTGTGAGACCCTGGGTTCAATCCCCAGCACCACAAAAAAATGAGAATTATAACTGAAAAAATGTAAAGAATATTAGAAATGCTGCATTTAAAAGATACAGCGATGGGTATGTGCTTACATTGATGCAGTATTTGCCTACCATACAGGAAGCCCTGGGTTCGATCCACTACATCACATAACCCAAATGTGCTGGTGCATGCATGTAATCCCAGTGCACTCAGGAGACAGACAGGGAGATCAGAAGTTCAAGGTCATCCTTGGGTACATAGTGAGTTTAAGGCCAGCCTGAGCTACATGAGACCTTATCCCAAAGACAAAAAGAAAAGATACTGTGACTTTTCCTGCTGTCATGTAATAGCCCTCCCTTATCTTATATAATAGAGGTTTGTGGAAAGAAGACATGATTGGCCAGAAGAAATGTTTTACATGGGGTTTTTGTTGTCATTGTTACAAATTTGATGAATAAGAGGATACAGTTGACTGTTCCTTATAAATTGAGTGATTCAGCTATTCTTGTACTTGTCTCTGCCAAATGCATTTAGGCTGTGGTTTTCAGGAAACTTGGGCGACACCACCCTGACTTGTAAGGTTGAACTGGGCAGTACTCCCACTGTGTATCTGTAGTTCCAGGTCATCTTCCATGGTTAGTGTTCTGTCTGTTTTCTCTCTGTTTAAGAGCAACATTCTTCAGCACGAAGAAAGGCGTGCTCTGGCTAAAATCTGTGGAAAGCAGATTTTCTCGCTTAAAATAGTGTTACTTTGGGGGAAAATTTAAATTTAGCTTTTATCTGAAGTGCCTTAAGTAGATTCTTACTTTTCTAGTACTGGTTTAAATATAATTCATTACGTATTTTTAATATACTGTTCAAAAATGATACGTTATTATGGCAAAGATAAGCAAATGTCTGGCTTACTGCTTCCTATCAATAAACTTTTGCAATCTAAATTACAGGTGTTTGATTCTCTGTGGTATTCATTTCTCCTCTGTTACTGTTAGACAATACTCTGACTAGAGCGCCTAAGGGAGAAAGGGTTCATTTTGGCTCCCACTTCCAGGGGAGTATATTATTGAGAAGACATGGCAACTGGAGCATGAAGCCCACAGGCAGTCTGGATGCAGGAGGAGAGCCAGGTTATATAACCCCCAATGATGACCTCTAGCAAGACTCTATCTTTTAAAGCTTCCACAGCCTCCTGGCGGCGGCACACCTTTAATCCTAGCACTCAGGAGGCAGAGGCAGGTGGATCTCTGTGAGTTCGAGCCCAGCCTGGGCTACAGAGCGAGATCCAGGACAGGCACCAAAGCTACACAGAGAAACCCTGTCTCGAAAAACCAAAAAAAAAAAAAAAAAAAAAAAAAGCTTCCACAGCCTCATACTACCACTGGCTAGAGACCAAATAAATGAGCCTGTGAAGGCATTTCCCACTCAAACCATGGCACCTCTCTATACAGGGGTCAATTTGAAATAGCAAAAGGGGATTCTTAAACTGGGCAGTGGTGGCACACACCTTTAATCCCAGCACTGGGAGGCAGAGGCAGGTGGATCTCTGAGTCTGAGGCCAGCCTAGTCTACAGAGCAAGTTCCAGGACAGCCAGGGCTACACAGAGAAACCCTGTCTCAAAAGCAGGGGGGGGGATTCTTAATTAGAATATTCCATCTTAAATATATAATTAGATTTGCCTAAATTTCTTAACTGTCCTACAACAGTGCATTTCATAGAACAGTTTCCTTAATCACCTCTAGATTAAGATACTCTCTGCTGCTAGGTGTGATGACACATGCCTTTAATCCCAGCACTGGGAGATGGAGGCAGGCAGATCTCTGTGAGTTGGTCTACATGAAAGTTCCGGCTAATCAAGTCTCAACCCCTGCCTAAAAGAAAGAGATATACATCTCCTAGAACTCAGCACAGAAGCACAGGCCTGTAATCACAGCCTTGGGAGATTGGGGCAGAGGATCATAAATTCACAACATCTCATAAAAGTGCACATTTTGTAGTCATGGTAGCACATACCTTTAATCCCAGGACTCAAGAGGCAGAGGCAGGTGGATATCTGTAGCTAGAGTTTTCCTGCCTGGCCCACAGGACAAATCTCTCTCACCTGCCAGTCCCACAACCTCTCAGACCCGACCAAGTAAACACAGAGACTTATATTGCTTACAAACTGTATGGCCGTGGCAGGCTTCTTGCTAACTGTTCTTACAGCTTAAATTAATCCATCTCTATAAATCTATACCTTGCCACGTGGCTCGTGGCTTACCGGCATCTTCACATGCTGTTTCTCATCGTGGCGGCTGGCAGTGTCTCTGACTCAGCCTTCCACTTCCCAGGTTTATTCTCCTCCTTGTCCCGCCTATACTTCCTGCCTGGCCACTGGCCAATCAGTGATTTATTTATTGACCAATCAGCAACACACTTGACATACAGACCATCCCACAGCAGATATCTGAGTTTGAGGCTAGCCTGGTCTACAGAGTGAGTTCCAGGACAGCCAGGGCTACATAGTGAAGTACTGTGTCAAAAGAGAAGGTACTAATTTAAGATAGTATTGAAAGCCAAAACCAAAAAGACATTAGGTATGCTTAAATTAGTACCTTCATTTGCTCTGCTGAAGAAAACCTGCCCTAGAAAAATGAAGCAATTTACTGAAGGTTATGCCAAGGAAATGCTTAGAGATTTCCCATTTTGCTGAATATACCCTATGGATTATATTTCACTTGCAGATGCAAATTGCTCTCTGGAGACCATAGTCCACCTTGATTGCTTCCCTGACATCCAGATTTCTGGAAGAAGTCCTAATGAAAAAGGCATTTCTCTAGAGAGCCTGAATCATGCTGGTGCCCTAAAGGAGGGAGTTTTGATTGACACTCTTTTGTCTGTAAAAGTAGAATGTAGGTGAGGAGATAGACTTTTGCCAGGAAAGGAAGCCAGAGAAGTAATAACCTAGAGATGCTTCTGAACTTTGTGCAGAAGTGTCCCTTAAACTTGGCGTTCTCTTTTTCCTTCATGAAACTGAAGAGGTAAAATGCCAGTGTACATTAGCATGGTGCCATAACCCCTGCGATCTTGGCACTTCGAAGGCTGGGAGAAGCTGGAGAGTGAGGAGTTCAAGGTTAGCCTCTGCTGCACAGCTTGCTCCCAGCCGTCTGTAACTCCATTTCCACAGGACCCAGGGTCCTTCTGTGGCCAAAACAAAAACTAATCCTAGAAACGGTAAGATAGTTGGGAGAAATTAAATACCAAGGAAATAAAATTGCCAATCAATAAGTGGACAAATAACTGAATAGACAGTGTTCAAAAAAAAAAAAGCACAAATGGCCAATAACTATTTTTAAAGGTGTTCAATTTGGGGCTAGAGAGACAACTCATAAAGAAAAGCATTTGCGTTTAGAGAGATGATGGCTCAGTGGTTAAGAGCACTGGCTGCTCTTCCAGAGGACCCAGGTTCAATTCCCAGTACCCACATGGCAGTTCACATTTGTCTGTAACTCCAATTCCGGGGGATCCAACTCTCTCACACAGACATACAAGCAGGCAAAATACCAATGTACATAAAATAAAAATAATTTTAAAAGTGTATTCAATTCAATATTTCTAGCCATCAGTGAAATGGAAATTAAAACTACTTTGATAAAGTACCTCACCCTAGTCAAAATGACTGTCATCAATAAATCTAACAATAAATGTTGGAGAGGATGTGGAGAACCTTATTCACTATTGGCAGGTGCAAATTAATACAGCCATTATGGAAATCAGTTTCGAGGGGGCTAGAGAGATGGCTCAGAGGTTAAGAGCACAGGCTGATCTTGCAGAGGTTCCTGAGTTCAATTCCCAGCAACCACATGGTGGCTCACAACCATCTATAATGAGATCTGGTGCCCTCTTCTGGCATGCAGGCAGAACATTATACATAATAAATAAATCTTTTTAAAAAATTTAAAAAAATAGCCTAGCATGGTGGTACGCACCTTCAATCCCAGCATTCAGGAGGCAGAGGCAAGTGGATCTCTGAGTTTAAGGCCAGTGTGATCTACAAATCAGTTTCCAGCTCAGCTAGAGTACACAGTTTGACACTGTGTCAAAAAAAAATCAAAAACAGAACTACTAAGCCAGGCAGTGATAGCACACAATTTTAATCCCAGCACTCAGGAGGCAGAGGCAGGCAGATCTCCATGAGTTTGAGGCTAGCCTGGTCTACAGAGTGAGTTCCAGGACAACCAAGGCTACACAGTGAAACCCTGTCTCAAAAAAAGTTAATAAATGAAAATAGAACTACTATATGACAGAGCTATTTTGCTTCTGAGCATATACCCAGAGAACTCTGTACTCTACCATAGAAACATTTGTACCCCGTGTTTGTTGCTGCTTTATTCACTTCAGCAAATAATTGAAATCAATCTAGTTGTCCATCAATAGATGAATGGAGATGTGTGTGTGTGTGTGTGTGTGTATGTGTGTGTGTGTGTGTGTGTGTGTGTGTGTGTGTGTGTGTGTGTGTGTAATACTTAGCTGTAAAGAAAAATGAAGTTGAAAATTTGCGGGAAAATGGATGGATTTTGAACCTATAATGTTAAACAAGGCCACACAATCTCAATATGAAAAAAACCACATGTTCTCTCTCATATGTAGAATCCAGCCAATATTACATGTCCATGTGTAAACAAATGTGCATGTGAGTACCATCGCTGCCAGGAGATCAGCTTCCAGCAGTGCAGGGCTCGAAAGGAATCCACAGAGTTGTCATGAACTACGACTTTTCTATCTGAGAGGGTGAGGGGAAAAGACACTCACACTCTCTCTTGATAGTTTCCTTCAGACCTTTTCTTTATTCTTTTGCATTCTCAATTCTTTATTCTCCTGGTGATTACCTTCTCTCATTCTTTTTTTTTTTTTTTTTTTTTTTTTTTTTTTTTTTTTTTTTTTGGTTTTTCGAGACAGGGTTTCTCTGTGTAGCTTCGCGCCTTTCCTGGAACTCACTTGGTAGCCCAGGCTGGCCTTGAACTCACAGAGATCCACCTGGCTCTGCCTCCCGAGTGCTGGGATTAAAGGCGTGCGCCACCACCGCCCGGCTACCTTCTCTCATTCTTAATGATTCTCTTCTAGTTCCTTCTAACTCTCTCATTCCTGATGTTTTCCTTCCAACTCATTTTAACTCTCATTCTTGATGTTTTCCTTTTTAGCCCATTTTAATTCTCTTTACCTCTATCTCTATTCTTTCCCTTACAGCTTTTTACCCTAGCAAAATCTTTCAGGCAAAACAAAAATTACAATATGGTTACATTTTGTTTTTCAAACGAATGATTACAATGAATACAAATAAAAAATAGCATGTTTTCCATATCCCTTACATGATTAAACATTTTACATATTACAGGTGAAAAACAAATTGTCACAAGAACCTACATACATTAATACCCAAGCAACTTATTTGTTTGTTTGTTTTGGGGGTTTTTTGTTTGTTTGTTTTTCAAGACAGGGTTTCTCTGTGTAGTTTTGATGCCTGTCCTGGATCTTGCTGTGTAGATCAGGTTGGCCTTGAACTCACAGAGATCCGCCTGGCTCTGCCTCTGCCTCCCGGGTTCTGGGATTAAAGGCATGCGCCACCACCGCCCCAAGCAACTTGTTATAGATTAACCGTGTGGGCAAGCAAGATATTCTTCTCAGTCAGGTCTTTTACTGGCAGGCTGCATTTTTCAGTTACAAAGAAAGGGCCAATTACTTTGTTGCTTATCTTGAAAGGTAACCTTATAAGGAATCTTAAAGGAATCACAACTCTAAACTTTTATATGTACAAAAGATTCAGTCAGCTCTACCTTAAATCTTTAGGGTACATACCCACTCATCAATAGTTTTTTGTATCAGGAGGGCAAAAATGGGTATAAGGAATTAATCACCACCTTTGGTCATCAACCAATCCTACCAAAAAAGGCATGTCAGCTAATGATA